CTGCAGGAACTTCCCCTGACGTGACAAGGACTATGGGGCAGACCCTTAGCTGGTGTGAGTTGCTATCCCGCCATCTTAACCTCAGCAGCACTGAAGTACTAACCTAGCATTTCTCCTTGCTGCCCAATCAATTCTTTTCTAAACTACAGCTGCTAAATATTAACATGAAAAATAAATATTTGGCAGATTAAATTGATCAGTCATTTCAGCATGCTGCGCATTGCTACAGGAAGCTGCTTTTACAATTCCCCTTTAACACCTCTTCTAGTGATGCTCGTAAAGTTTGCGAGTGGAGATACAGAGCATGACCCAAGATTTTTTTGGAAATACATCTTCACAACAGCAATAAAGCTTTTATTCTGTCTACCAGTTGTAAATAGTCAAACTGCTAGCAATCTACTCAAGCCTTTAGTGCCAGCTTTACTGTGCAGTTAAAGTACACACACCTGGGCAATGCTTTCCAGCAAAATAATAATTAAAAAAAATTTCTGTATTTCAATTTCTTGTATTTTTCTTCTTTTAAAAATTTGTTTTGCAGTTGTTCTCTTTCATCCTTTCCAGAATTTGGTCTCCATGGATTTTTTAATTTGCATTACTTCTGTTATTCTTTCAGTGTTTTTTCTTTATGAATAATTATTTTTCCCCTTCAATTTTTTTTCCTGTTTTGCACTATTGACATCTTCTCAACATACAAAAAGAGAGAAAAAGCCTATTCATTTTATTTACTGTTGGAGGATTCCTATGTAATAAGGCACAAAATTGCACTTTAGGCGAGATAGCTACCAAGAAGAGCAAGTCACCCTTTCAGACATGTAAGAGGCTTAAAGGAGCAAACATCTCTTGAAGACAACCTCTTGTTAGCAATTTTGGTAGGTACGTATTAGGAATCATTTCTAAATAGTAGGAAATGAAATTTAAAAAAAAGTTAATCCTCGCATTGCAGAGGATTTGCAAGGCATGACTGATTGCAGAATGAATGCCCCACCCCCTTTTAATTAATGGGACTAGTCACACATTAATTAAGAACATGCATAAGCCTTTGCAAGATGTGTGTCGTGCATGGCACTAGATAAGACAGAAGCCTGCGGAGGCTGTTGCTTCACTGTGGACAGAATTCATTTACTGCAACTTAAACACCAGCTAGAATCCATTAAATTTACTTAACTATCTTGGTGAAAATTTTAAATAAGAGCAATGTAATTAATGAGAATAACAATGATTAATTCCTACTACTCATTTACTTCGTAGGATTAAGGCAGGAGTTCTAAGGAAATAATACTTGGATTGCAAGACAGAGATGGTCAGAGAAATTTCTGATCCTACGTACCATTATCCCGTTCATGAATAACCATCAATTTCTTACAAGAAGCTACAAGGTGCCCATCCAGCCACTCTGTCCCTCCTCCTCCTCAGCAGGACAAGAGGAAAAAATATGATGAAAACCTCATGGGTCAAGATAAGGACAGGGAGATCCCTCAGTAATTGCAGCCAAGCACAAAACAGACTCAACTTGGGGAGGATTGATTGATTGCCAATTAATAACAGAGTAGGACAGACAGAAATAAAAACTAAATTAAACCCACCTCCTCCTTTCCTTCCCTCCCCTCCTTCTTCCCAGGTCCAACTTCACTCCTGACTCTTCTGCCTCCTCCCTCCACTCTGAGATGCGCAGGGGGATGGGAAATGGGGATTGTGGTCAGTTCATAGCACTTTGTGTCTCCTACTCCCTCCTTCTTATGGTTGGGTCCCCCACAGGCCACAGTTCCTGCCAGAAAACCCGCCCCTGCATCCTCTCCTTTCCCTATCTGCAGCTCCTGCCAAGAAACTTGCCCCAGCACAGGGTTTCCGTGGGCTGCAGCTTCCTTCAGAGTACATCCACCTGCTCTGCCCTGGTGACCTCAGTGGGCTTCAGGTGAATATCTGCTCCACTGTGGACCTCCATGGGCTGCAGGAGGACAGCATGCTTCACCCATGGTCTTCTCCAATGCTTCTCTGCTCTGGTGCTTGGAGCACTTCCTCCCCCTCCTTCTGTACTGCCCTTGGTGTCTGCAGGGCTGTTTCTCTCTTCCCTCCCATCCATTCCTCTCTCACAGCTCTGTGCAGTATCTTTCACCCTTGCTTAAATATCTCATCACAGAAGTGCTACCAGTATCACTGATGGGCTCAGCTTTGGCCAGCAGTGGGTCCACCTCGGAGCCAGCTGGAACTGGCCCTGTCCAACATCAGTGCTGCTTCTGGTGCCTTCTCACAGAAGCCACCGCTGCAGCTCCCCTGGCTACCAAAACCTTGCCCTGTAAACCCAATTCATTGAAAGGCAGAAGCCTCCACAGTGCTGAAAAGCACGTTCACCTACTGTGCCCACTGTTAATCTAACAACAAACATTTTATTTCTTATTAGAACACATACTGCATCCATAGTAATTATTGCAATGAAATTCTAAAAGCCCATCTATTTACAATATATTATTTAGGGTATATTATATATTTCATGCTTCTTAGAATGCTAGTTTCCTTTGACTTTTTGTAATTTAGATTTTTCCATAATCAGTAACTCTAAATACTTATAACTAAGTCTCTTCTCCCCCCTTAAATCTTCAATTTATCTTGGTAGAGTTGCTTCGTTTTAGTAGAAGTCCAGCTCTGCTAGTTGCTTTTCTTCACTCCCAGAGTTTGTCCACACTCACACTTCCTACAAAGCTCTGGTCAACCCAAATGGAAGCTTCTGAATTACTTCTCCACCTGACTTAATATGCAAGTTACCATTGAACACGCTACCTTTGTTTGGTAGAAATGTGGCAATAGATATTTTTTCAAATCAAGTTGTGAAAAGAAGAAAACCACTGTACTGCTGTACAACATAATTTTATTTTTTCAATGAAATGCCCTAGCGTCGGAAAACAGAACACGTTTTCTAATCTTGAAGCCAGCAAGATTGAGAAAAAAAGAAAAATTGAACTTGGTTTTCCTATACATAACTTCCACACTGAGACTTAATTCAGAGAAAAAAACCCCTAGAATTAAAATGTAAGCAGACATTACTTACGCAGCTCTCTTCTTAAAAATAAACTGGACATGTGATACAATTCACATATGGTGATTTGCTAGTATAATATGCTACAAATAGAATTATTCAAATGCAATTCCAACAGAATTATTCAAATGCTTTTCTACTAGCTAAGACCTTTCCATTTATTATGTTGCAACACCTTTGTTACTTACTTCACACTCTACCACCATACTACAGAATGATCTTTTCTCCTTTTCCAGTGGCTTGTTCCTCAGAAAGTGAGCCCTCATTGTGGCTTTCTTTGGAAACACAAGCACTCAGGTGCAGATGTTGAAAATATTTAAGGCATTTCAATATACATTCACAACTAGATTAAGCCTCCATTTTTCAAGTAAGGGTCTCATGGCTTGCTAGTAAACTAATGGAAAAAGCTGGTTGGCATTTACTCCTGTTCTCATTTATGAGAATGTGATCTGGATAGCTGTAATGCCTGATAAATGCCCTCATCCGTTGGTGAGCTGAGTGTGCACCATCATATCCTGCACAAGAATTAGAGGAACTTGAAGTCTGGGTTTTCTCACAATACTCATGGATAGACCAAAATAACTGTATAACTTTTTAAACAAATGACACTTTCAAGAAAATATTTGAATTTGGAGAACTGCATAACCTCATTTTCAATGAGGTTCTTAGGTCAAAAGTACTATTTCACTTATTAAACATGGCTTTAAAAATACAGTACACATAACACTTATGTTACAAATGTCTGAAAAACATTGGATCAATCAACATTTCAACTCATTGCATTAATAAGGGAAGTAAACACCAGTACTTTTGGAAAAGTATTCAAGTATTTCCCTGAAATACTACATAACAAAAAACAGATCCTAAACTTTTTATAACTGTACTTTAAGCAAGTATAATTTGCAAGTGCTTTCTGTCATGTAGAGCAGTATGAATAACACTTTGTAGCAAAGACATAGCACACCATTCGGATATTACACAAAACTGGAATGTAAATAATTTCCATAGAAAAAATATCAGCCATTTATAATAATTTTCAAGTACTTCAGTAATAAACTGACTAATCACCATGGCTTAGGCAGAGCAAATACATGAGAGACATGAAACTAATACAAGCTGAATGACAGAAGTGCCAATAAATAGACATGAACTGAGAATCGTTAGCTGTTCAGACAAAAAAACCCCTCAAATGCAATGAATTTGAAAGAGAACTACACTTGTAAGAAAAGACAGAAGAGAGCAAGGGTCAACTTCTGACCCTCAAACAGGAATAAACATGTACGAGCAAAACAAAATTTAGCCCCAAGCCTACACATAAAACATGTGTGTCACAACACACAAATCCATACACAGCTTAAATAATCACTCCATAGCTATACACGATAGTCTAGTGGTTTTTGCTATAAAAAAAGATCAGCACAGTGAATTTGTGATTTATCAGATGCCAGTTTCTTCCCTTGACTTCACAAAACAAATTGTTCCATATTCAGCTAAATAAAAATTTTTTTTTAAAAAAGCTTTCAACCACCATATCGTATTTTTAAACTTAACATTTCAACATCTTATTTTTGCAAAGATGTTTTAACGTATGTAGTAAATAAAATCTCCAAAGAATTGGGAAGTTTTTAATATGTTAATGTTAGGTATTTTTAAAAAAATAAAACTTGCTGGTGTTTCAGAAGAGATTTATATTTTCCTTTGCCTGTGCCTTCCTAGTATTACAGAAGTATCCCTGTGAGTTGCTTGCAAGACATTTCAGTCGCAGTGTGTGGTATTTGGTATCATCCAAATAGTCATAAAACCTTTCATAATCCCAAAAGCATCATGCAAGGAAGCCTTCATAAATAGACTCTATAGGATAAGGTATGATCTGTATACAGATGTGCTTTTATATTTCAAAGTATTTCTAAACTCTTATTGTTATTACTTAAAGCCAGGAATGTGCGTTTGAATTGCATTGATAAGTTGCAAGGTATAGTCAAAATTACAAAATTAAAGATTTTACTAAAAAAAAGATGTGAATGACAACACTGTTGTCCAGTATGTAAGCCACATGCAAATACATAACAATCCCAGCAGAAAATGTCTTCTCAGACACTGAAAATATCATCTTGATATCATAGTTTGATGACAATGGAAAGTCCAATGTTTTATAACATTTAGATATTATTGCAACAACTGCTAAATTAGGTCTCTAGAAAAGCACAGAGAATTTACCAGTCATCTTGAATACATATATATATATGCCAATCCTCTCTTTTCTAACATAACTTAGATTACATTGCTCCAAGATACATTTTAGTGATTACAATGTTTTTTAAAAAAATTACACAATGCAATAAGATGTCTAAAATTATACTGAAGCTATCAAAAAAAAAAAATCTAAAATTTTACAATACTTGTCAATTTGACTAAAATGCATATATACTCAATATCCTTGAGCTTTTACTTTTCTTCTCCACATTGGAGGAACAATGTCTATAGTAATTGTTCAACGCCACTCTGGCTGCAGGCAGCTTCATCTTTACAGTTTTCCTCGATTCCCCTTGCAAATAGTTTCATCAACTGGCAGTGAACCCTGAAAAATATGGAAATCAGTTAATAAGAAATAAATGGTTACTACATATTTAATTCTAATAATACATGAATTTCAAGCAGTTGGACAAAGTTCCTTGCTCCAGACTACAGAAACTGAGCTCTCATTTTTGATACAATCCTCCCCTGCAGAGGCAGCTGAATGCTTTCACCTATCTATCACTCCCATTACTCCTCTTTTATACACAAAAAGTTCGATGGGGCACTTAGATGAGCTGATCTTGTACAACATACAATAGTTACAAAAATCACTTTGGACAGCTAAGCGTTTTAATGGAACACACTTGCATGTAAATATTTTGTATTGTGGTTTTGGTTCTCTTTGTTCTAAAAACACTCACAATCAAACAAAAAAGACCACCCCAAACAAAAAAGAAAAAAGCCCTTCAAATTTCACAAACCCCTATTCCTTTTTAATTTGACTATTTGCACAAGGGCCAACTTCTTTCCCCACATGCCAAGGCTGGAGATAAGACTCTGTGCTGTGTGTCGAAAAACAAAGTATGGGACATACTCAGTATTTCTGTAAGACAAAGACTTAAGCTTACTTTAAGAGGAAAAGCTAATGCTCAGAGTCATGAGGTACTTTACTCATTTAAAAAGAATCCTCTCAACACCACCTTCGCCTTCAGCACTTCAAACACATAATATCAGGTCCTAAGAAGTAAGTAGGACTTCAAAGGTAGGATCACTCAGAGTGATAATTTGCAACATACATGGTTGGAGTGTTCTCTGGACTCAATAAAGTAACAAAAAATAAAAGTTTATTATCAGAAGACTCAAATTTGTTATGTGGGGGCAACTCTTGGGTTATCTTTATAAGCACCTTTAAAATCAGTGAAAAGGCTTATTACATTTTCTGGTACACGGAGAGAACAATCAACACTTACGTCACTTCAATTGCTGAACTGTCCAGAGTTTCTCCATCACAATTCCAGGTGCTATTAGCAATATTACAGCAACAGGCTGGATGATCTCTGCAGAACTGGCCAAAATGTTTCTTTCCTATGTCTGTGACATTGCTTTCATTATCTTCCAAAAGCTTTGATGTAAATTGAAAACTCTTCACCCGATAAACATCTACAAATGAGAAGTCAAACTACAAAAAAAAAATCAAAACAGGCAATCACAATTAGTCAAATACATTTGATGTGTAAAGCAACTCAGCATGCAGCATTTTGTATTCAAGAAAGTCTGTCCATTCCCATTTTCTAGAGAAGCTTAACTGAGTCAGAGTGATTTTTGGTTTTAGAAAACGGCACAAGTCAAAACCAATAAAGCAAAATTGTAACCTTACTTTTCAGTGGTCCTCTTCAAGTAGCTGCAATACTGCCACTTTATAGATAACCAGGTAACAGGTTCTGAGATTATGAGTGAATTTGGTATGAAAACTATTTAAAATACCATATAAAGCTATTATAACATGGAATCAAAGTCAAAAAGGTATGGATTGGATCTTTGTACCATCCTCAGGATCTGTTCAACTACAGTCCTTAAGACACATGGGCTTTTCTGAAAGCCTTCTGCTTCTGCATTTGGAACAATGCTCTGAAGGCGAGAATTCCATGGCAGCATGATCACAGAGCTGGGTGTAATCAAAATTAAGAACAGAGGACAATATATTACATTCCAACAAAATAAAAATAATTTTAACTAGCTAATTTAGCTTGAAAAAAGTAGGGCAATTACAAGATTGCTCTTACTAACACAGGTTGCAGAGTTACACTACAATACCGCACAAATGCTTTAAAAGAGGCTTCGTAAATTAAAGGAACAACCAAATCAGAGAATGCCCCCATGTGCCCTGAAAGAAACTTAACAGATATGGCCTTAAACACTTACCAAGTTGTAATAAATACAGACATGTCATGTAGCAAAGGCAATGCAGTATGTCTGTGTGCATCTATGGGAAGGGGATGGCAAGGAAGCAGAAGTGAACAAAGAACCAGTCTACCCATAAACCAGTCTATTAATGTACAGTCACCCTTTTTTTCCTTTTTCTTTTCACATTTTCTTAACTTTCCAAACAGGGTTTCCCACTATCATGACAGACACTAACTGAGGTGCAAACATATGTACACGTCTGCAGTTCATCTACACAGCAAAACCAACATACCCCAGAGGGAAACAGCTGGAAAACACTGGAAGGGGAAGGGCTGAAGTGGCAATCACAAACAGGATCAGAGTTGAAGGGACTTCCTAGGTCTTAAATTCCCTCAGCTTTTAACCATAAACAAACTGTAAAGTTGTCAAACTCCACACTTGGAAGCTATGGCTCATGGATACAATGAGGCTTACTAAGCAGCATGCTAGTCCAAACAACTTGTTGCAAAAACTGATATCCAAGGCTGCACAGATCCACCCACGAATGCTCTCATGTTTCAAGACTAAGCAGTGTCCCAGGGAACAGTAATGAGGAAATACAGCAAAGAGAATCTATACTAATTCTTCTACAGAGGAGGACGAACAGCAGCATAAACAAGTGAGATTTATTATTGCTTTTTATACCTAGATACGACACTAGTCCATTGTTCAGATAATTTCCAGAACGCATTAATAATATCAGTTTGTGACAAATATTAAATGTGTGTATTCACAGCCATAGCTCTGGCTTCAACAGATACTACAAGCCAAAGCAGTGATGGATCCTGCCCTGTAGTTTATCCTGACAGCTACAACATACACAAGGAGTAATTTTCAAGTCGAATGCATACAGCTCATATCCTGACCGTGTACACGTAGTAAAATTATGCTAAAAGCCTTCACTTTATAATCAAACTGCAATTCTGGTAACTTTTTTTCTAACCCACATTTTTACTTTCCTGTGCATAAATCTTCAGAGATTCCTGGAAAACAAATATGTGTTCTAGAAAACTTGTTTCAACAATGTGAAACTGTTCTGTTACAGATTAGACCTAGACTGAGCTTCAATGTGTGATGACAAAAAGTGAGTTATTTTTCACTACAACTTCTACCTCAGCTACGCTATACTGCTGTAAGCAGTTTTTCATGACAAATACACATGGGCACAGTTGTGATAAAATCACTGTAAATCTTGTCCAAACAGCAAATATATGGAAAATGTTACGAAATATTATCAAAAGTGGAATTTTGTTGGAATGCTATAGCCAAAGACTTGACTAAGCTAAAATTGTATTTTAATAGTACACATGCTGAGATTATGTCACCCAAAAATGTACAAACTTTTTCTTTTTTAAATGCTGCTTTGTAGATGTTCTTTTTGTCATACAAGAATATCGATATTTATAACTTAGACTGACTCTGGAGGATTCATTGTCAAAGTGAATACACACCTGATCATCTTGGTTTGTATGTCTGACAAGGTACCGTAGAAAATCAAATCTGGAGCATTTACGAACTAGAATGAGGTCAGCTGAACCATCTGCCAAATGAGCTGCCGGTGAAAGGCCTTTTGGACTTCGTGGACAGGCACAGCTCATATTTACTGCATTGATGGCTAGAAATTTCCCTTTAATAACCTTCCATTCTTCTGCATCTTCTGAAACACATCAATAAAGGCATGGAGATAAGTTATTACTTGATCTACTCACAAGAACACTAAAAATCAATCATTCTTGGCAACTTAAAAGTTTTTACTGGGCAAATTCATGGACCGCCCATAAATATCTAAATAAACTGCATTTTTAAAAAAATAATCTATTTTTCATATACTAACAAAGAAAGTTGCTTCCTCCCTTCACAGACTGGGATTACCTACTAAAACTGCTCACAATTTCTGACATACACATGTTAAATTCAGGATCAACGCTGCTTGGGCAAACTCACAAAGCCTTAAGCAGGGACAAGACAGGCAAGTTACAGCTCTTGTAATGTGAAAGTTCAGGGGAATTAAGTTTTAAAAAATTTTAATCTTGCTCTTCAACACATTAAACAAACGATGCAAAGACAGTGGTGTAGTATTCAATTTCTAAATCAATATTCCTCTTCTGCCTCAATGCCACAAATTATATTTAAAAAAAAAGACAAAGAGGGAAGAGATGACTCAGGGTTCAGCAAGGACCAGCAGGCAGCAGATCAGGAGTCTGCTTCCACCCCAACCCCACGTGTCTGAAGATGAATACTATTAACAGAGTTGAACTTTCCTGTGCATAAATCTTCAGAGATTCCTGGAATACAATACAAGATGTTCTGGAAAACATGTTTCAACAACGTGAAACTGTTCTGTTACAGATTAGACCTAGACTGAGCTTCAATGTGTGATGACATCAATTCTACCAAGAAACAGAGGAATTTTCTGGAACAAAGAAACACTGGTAGGCACTGCACAGAGCTGTCATCTAAACTGTATTTTATTGAATATGGAAAAAATAAATTAAAAAATGCCATAAGCAGGGAGAGCATAAACGGCACTTATTTAAACTGTCTGTTGTGTATATACACTGCAAGTTGCTGAAATCAGCATAAAGTACTAGGACTCGAAGTTTACTCAGCACATGCACAGACTTCTGCACAGTACAAAGAAGTATTCTCAGTGACAGCCAATGCAAGCATCCTTCTAAACTTATCTGAATTGTACACAAACCAAGCAGGTACAATGAAAGAGTCAGCCAATACACTGTTGAGTAAAAAGCTTATCTGAGGTGCTGATTTAAAATCCTTTTTACTGCAAATCAAGAGTAGCTGATTGTTATTGTTTGCTTACCAGTACTGCATAGAGAAGAGACTGGACTACAAAGAAACCCAGCTACCAGAAATAAAATGTATTTAAGTAAACAATATCCTACATAATCAGCAGCTTACTGTATTGTGCAAAGGTGGCTAAAGCAGTTTTGACTGCTTACTAAGCTGTAGCTTTCTTCTGCCTTTTCTCCTTTGCTTGATCAAAGCTAACAAAATGGCAGATTTAAAAAAAAATAAAAAAGAAAAAACCCAAAACAACAAAAACCCCCAAATCCTTCACCCAAACTCAAGAAATACTCTAATCTGGCCATCTGTTGACTATATCAAAGATCTGAAAGCAGTAGCTGGGATGAAAGCGCTATTTAGATGCACATGTAACAGGAATTCAAGTTGGCACAGAAATCTAGATACAGTCTTTATGCTACCAATGAATCTCTATAGTATAATAGTCTTTTTGATAACAAACATCTAGAACCTGGCACAGACACTGTGCAAAATAACTGCAATTATAGGTTAAGCTAAGTCATAAGGACCAATGTTTGTGTCAAGAAAATTATGGCTTTATGCACTGGGCTCTACAAGAAAAAAAAAAAAAGAGTCAAAGCAGAAGCAAGCACCCATGTGAAGGCTGCCTGCTGTTTCAAGACGGGTTTATCCAAGGCAACAAACTGAGACCAGAGGCGGAACTTAGCCAACTGAATCTGGATATCTTACTCTAGCAAGGCCACAAGCATATCAATATCAGTGCTTCCCATTAGGATGCCGTAGTCAGAAAAAGAGATACAACTAGGAGGATGACTGCACAGAGTCCAGTACATTAACAGTTGTTTTAATAAAAGGAAAGAAAAATTATACCCATTAAAAAAAAAAATCCATGGAAATGTGCACAGGGCTTGGAACTAGGGGGGGGGCGGGAGTGGGGAGAGAATAAGGACAGCATAACTTGAGAAAGAGGAGAAGAATCTAATTTATCATTTATACTGAGCATTGGTGGGGTATTGTACAGAAATGCTGAAGTCCACTAGATTGGTTATTAGTTGTTCAAGTTCACTGCCTCCTATTTATTCAACAGTTTTACACAGCGTGGCTTTCATGCTAACACCACAAATTTTTAATTCTTTTCTATTCTAAAAGTTATCTTAATGAACTACTTCCTCCTAAACTACCTCACAGTTTATCAGTTAAGTCCCTCTCACAAAAAGAACAGAGTCGTAGCTCACAGAATATATCTTTCCCAAAGAAAAGAAACTCAACACACTCAAATATACAAGTAGTTAGTATAATTTTATCTGAATTTTCCGAGGTTCGGGTGGAGGAGACACTATACATTTTTCACGTATTTACATGTATTTTACTTAGTTAAAGAAACAATGGATTATCTAGTAACTCACAATATTTAAAGGAAAAAACAAACACACACACTTGAAGTGATATATTCTGAAAAATAATGCATTTGTATAATACTTGTGCTGGTTTTGGCTGGGATAGAGTTAATTTTTTCATAGTACTTAGTATGAGGCTATGTTTTTGCATTTGTGCTGAGAGCAATGTTAATAACACATTGATGTTTTATTGTCAAGCAATACTTACATTAAGACAGGGACTTTTTCAGCTTCTCATACTGCCCCGGCCCTCCCACCTTCTTCTCTACAAGAAGCTGGGAGAAGATACGGCCAGGACAGTTGACCCAAACTGGCCAAAGGGATATTTTCCATACCATGAAACATCCTGTTCAGTATATAAGCTAGGGAAGTTGGCCAGGGTGATTCGATCGCTGCCTGGGGACTGGCTAGGCATCAGTCGGTGGGTGGCGAGTGGTTGCATCATTTGTTTTTCTTGGGTTTTGTTTTTGTTGCTTTCCTTTTCATTACTATTCCTTAGTAGTAGCATTTTATTTTATTTTATTTCAATTGTTAAACTGTTCCTATCTCAACACACAAATTTTCTTACCTTTTCCTCCTATTCTCTCCCCCATCCCACTGTGGTGGGGGAGGAGAAGTAAGCGAGCAGCTGTGTGGTGCTTCGTTGCCAGCTGGGATTAAACCACAACAATAATACTACACCATCTCACTTTTAGTGACAAATTACCTTCATGTTTTAATCCACATTCCTTGTGCTGTTCTGCCAGCTGCTGCTCACTTTTCTTGCAAATGTAACATCTGAAAACAAAAATACCATTTAGTTCCTTAAAAACAAAACTATTATCCAATTCAACTTTTTTGTTTTGCCCAGCCATTACAAGACCTTCCCCCATGACAAGATGCAGCATGGCACTGATAACCCTGATGTGTCATGAATCATGACAGCCCTGCAGGCAGTATAAGTACTTAAGTACAGTGCTTAAGATTACTGGATGTCAGAAATAACAGCAGCACAGAGCCACAAGATCACATAGGTTGGAAGGGACCTCTGATGAGGTCCAAAACTCTGCTCAAAGCAGGTCTTATAGGATGAGGACGTTCAATGACTTGTTCAATCAACTTTCGAATATCTGCAAGGCTAGAGTCCACAAGACCTCTGGGTGACCTGTTCTAATATCTGATTGCTGTAATGGTGAAAGCCACTGACATAGCGGAGCCAGCAGAGCTGCCTTCCACCAGTCAGTGCCCAATCAGTACCGTTGCATGGGACTTTTTCACCCCAGGTACACATTTGCCCCTCCTGAACTTCAGGAAGTTCAGCCATTTCTTCAGCCCACCAAGGTCCCTCTGAACAGCAGCCCTGACTTTCAACATGTACACCACTCCTCCCAATCTGGTATCATCCATAAAACTGCCAAGACTGCGCTCTCTGCCACTGTCCCAGTCATTAATAAAAATGTTGCACAGTATTAGCCCCAGTATTGACCCCAAGGGACAAGATTAGTAATTGGCTGCCAGTTGGATTTGGTACTCACATCCTTTCTAGGTAGTCTAGGTAGTTTTGCCAGTTTTCCCACAGTTTTATCTAGTCCACACCTCATCAATTTGTTTTTAAGAATACTACAAGAAACAGTACCAAAGACCTTGCCAAAGTCCAGCTATGTAACATCCACTGTTTCCCCCTCATCCATGGGCTTGGGGACCTGTAAGGCCTGAGAGCAGAATTCATCAGGGAAAACTGATGAAAGGAGGCAAAGGAGGCATTTCCCAGCCTTTTCTGTATCTTTTATTACTAGGTCTCCCATACCACTAAGCAGCTGGACCCCACTTCCTTTAGTCTTTTGTTATGACTGGTATACTTATACAATCCCTTCGTAAGAAGTAACACCCTTCACATCCCTCACTGATTTCAACTCCACCAAAGCTTTGGCTTTCTCAGTTCCATCCCTGCATGTTTAGGCAATGTCTCTGTGTTCCTCCAAAGTAACCCATTCCACTTCTACCTTCTGTTTTCTTCTCAGATCCTTGCTCATCCATGCTGGTTTTCTATCATGCTTACTCAAGTTTCTGCATATCAGAATAGACAGTTATTGTGCTCTGAGGAGGTACCAACCAACTCTCCTGGGCCTCTTTGTCCTCCAGGGCAGTCTCCCATGGGAACTTGCCAAGATTCCTGAATAAACCAAAATCTGCTCTCCTAAAGTTCATGGCTGTAATTCTACCTTTTGTCTTGCTCACTTCACTCAGGATTTTAAACTCTATAACCTCACAGTCACAGCTGCCAAGACTGCCCTCAACTGTCACATCCCCAACTCTCCTCTTCTGTAACAAGACCAGCAGAGCACTTCTCCCAGTCAACCTGACAATCACCTGCATAATCACTGTCATCACCACACTCCAGAAATTCTTATTAATTGCTTGTGCCCAGCCATACTGCCCTTCCAGCAATTATCAGGATGTATAAAATTCCCCGTGAGGCACCAGGTACTCTTTACTCCAGCTTTCTCCCTCTGGAGCTTCCTGCATAGTCGCTCCAGCTAGTGCTGGAGACCGTGATCTGTAGCATATCATAGCATCATTCATAGAATCATAGAATGGTTTGAGTTGGAAGGAGATCCTCCAGTTCCAACCCCCTTGCCAGGGGCAGGGACACCTTCCACTAGACCAGGTTGCTCAAAACCTCATCCAGCCTGGCCTTGAACACCTCCAGGAATGGGGCATCCACAGCTTCTCTGGATAACCTGTTCCAGTGCCTCACCATCCTCATAGCAAAAAACTTCCTCCTAATATCTAATCTAAATCTGCGCTCTTTCAGATTAAAGCCCTTACCGCTTGTCCTGTTGCTACACTCCCTGATGAAGAGTCCCTCCCCATCCCTCCTGTAGCCGCATTTAAGTACTGGAAGGTACTCCAGCCCTCTGACCACCTTCACGGCCCTCCTCTGGACTCACTCTAACAGGTCCATGTTCTTCTTGTGCTGAGGACTCCAGAGCTTGACGTAGTACTCCAGGTGGGGCCTCACAAGAGAGCAGAGGGGGAGAATCAACTCTCTCGACTTCCTGGTCATGCTTCTTTTCATGCAGCCCAGGACACAATTGGCTTTCTGGGCTGCAAGTGTGCATTGCCAGCTCATGCTCAGCTTCTCATCTACCAGCACCCCCAAATCCTCTTCAGAGCTGCTCTCAAGCCATTCTCCACCCAGCCTTTATTTGTGCTTGGGGTTGCCCGAACCCATTTGCAGGACCTTACACTTGGTCTTGTTGAACTTCATGAGGTTTGCATTGGCCCACCTCTCAAGCCTGTCCAGGTCCCTCCGGATGGCATCCCTTCCCTCCAGCGTGTCCACCACACCACACAGCTTGGTGTCATCGGCAAACTTGCTGAGGGTGCACTCGACCCACTGTCCATGTCACCAACAAAGATGTTAAACACCACTGGTCCTGGTACTATTACAGCAAAGTCTCAATAAATTCCATGTAGTTTCTGGACAAAGTTTCTGGCTCCTCTGTACCCTGCTGTGATGCTTGCTGCTGTCACAACTATTATATATCTGATAGCTTCATATATAAAGAAGAATAATACATTCTAGTGCACAACTTCAAGCAGTTGAAAGTAAAGAGAAAGAAAGGAACACAGGAGATTCATGTATTCATGCCCCCTGATTAGAGAAACAAGTGAAGAATATCACATAGAATTTATATGGCATAGTAACAGTCTATAAAAAAAGACTATATAGGCTGGTTCCTGAAAGGACCTATCCTCAGGACAAGCTATGCCAGCTGTTGTCATGGCACTAAAACAATTGCTAAAATTGCTAGATCCAATTATAGTGTGAACATTTGAGAATTTTTGAATAATTATTTCCATTTGTAGAAGCTATGAGGCATCCAGACTTCTCAGTTATTAGCAGTAACACAGCATAGTACCCTCAGCATCTTGTAACTGGGTAACGTACTGTTATACTTTGTTTCATTTAAAACTGGGGGAGGTGGGACACCAGCCAACAAAAATTTATTACATTTTTGTTTACTGACATGATAAAGTGAGGTATTTTCCTTAATGAGTAACTTTTTTAAAAGCTCGTCTCTTTCACAGTGAATTTTTTATGTTAAAAACAACATTTCTGCGGCTTCTATTGATGTACAGGCCTTTTCAAATAGTTCATGTCAAATATCCAGAGAGAAACAGAAGCCTACCCTGTTCTGCAGCTATCTTTATCTCGTGGAGATCCCAATGTGTGTTTTGCTGGTTGAAAAGAAATTGTTCCTTCATAGTAATGATGAGAAAGAAAAGTCTTGAAGCCTACATAAAAAAGGTATTAAGCAACATTAAGTCATTATAAATCCACATTGCAAACACCTGTGCATACATCCCTTGACTGTTTTTCTCTTTCCTTCTCTAAGGTCTGCAAAACAATAGTTGCCCTCCTCAAGCCCACAGCTCTTTGTGTGAAATATGCCCCTCAATGTTTTAAACATTTGCCAGTAGCGCCATTACTTTTCTTGACATCTTTAAGACCCAACTAAAAATTTTAGCTGTACATCACTGCTGAATCTTAAAATTAGCCTACACTACTGAAATTCTGCTTTTCCATCTTCTTTCCCT